ATGATGACGACGAGTGTTGTTGCAATGATGGCGTTTGGCGTCGTCTTACTAGATCCTCACTCTCCATTCATGCAGTCGTTCATTCATGTCTTCATTCATTCCTGTGTTCGTGTGCGTGTATGTGTAAATGTCAGAGGGTTTTGCTGACGTCACCGATGCAGAACGCTTAGGTGAAGTGCTAACACACGCATACACATGCACACAAGAATGTACAAAGGATAAAAACGAACAACAAATAACAATTTTCTTCATTTTCGTTTAAAGGCTTTTCTTTTGTGAGAGGGCAGGACATAGGGTTCCAGTGTGGTCTCTTCATCTTATTGGCAGAGATGGTTCACATTCACTCAATTGAGATGCCGGCAGTTGTTCACCTACCAGCGAATGTTTACTTCTGGATTATTTCCTTAACATCAGTGGTCGTTCCTCCATTTTCCTCATTCAGACGTAAAACTCAAGCATAATGTATTGTGGTCTGAATGTGGATTCGTCGGCCTTTTAATTGATGCAACCCATGCGAATCCGACGGTAATCAAGTTGGTGAGATGAAGCAGGCGTTATGTCACAACTGTGTAGGCCGACTTGAATATTCAAAATATTCAATTTCAGCGAACCTTCTAAGGAATGGATAGCATTCTCCATGGAGTTGAGTATGGTGTGAGGTGCGATCTCGTCTCACTCCTCTCTATCCCTTGGTAGAAATGGACATAAGTTGACACATGCCTCGAAAAAGCCCCATGGGTGCCAGTTCTGCGATAAGTCCTACAGCGATGCACGCTCACTGCGCCGACACTACGAGAATGCGCACCCTGATGAGTACGAGTCCTGGTGCTTTCTCTCTCGCGCCGCTGAGGAGGGCGAGGCCAGCATTGCCGAAGCTGTAGCCAAGATGACACAACTCTCTGCTGCTGCTGTTACCTCTGCCTCTTCCACCACCTCTAATGGCAACAATCTCGCCCAACAGCTCGTCGGTGTCAAGGGTGCGTTTCAATATCCTCCTTTGTCGTGGGGAGAGTCTTCCTCCCCACTTTCACAAACTCTATTAGGTGTTATTACCCTCCTTTAACTGTAATCCTTTCCCTTTTATAGTAGGAAATATCAATAGGAATTGTGTGTCCACTGTTGCTTGTTACTGTTTAATCTAAGTCGCCGATACACTTAGATGCCATACGGCATTCCTTTTCATCCTTGAAGACTTTGTGAATCTAGAAGGGTGAGTTGGCATTGTGCTGAGGAATGTAGGCGAGATGGGAGCCTGTAAGTAATTCTCTCCCCTTTTGAAAGCCGTCTCCGCTACTCCCTGGAGTCACATTTTTTGCCTCAACTCCAGTAAGTCCCTGTTTATTGTGATTATCAGTAAGGCACAACAGGGTTGTATTAAGGAGAGGATGTTCCCCATTTTGTATGACTTGTTTGAGATTTAGAATTTCCGCCTCCCTTGCTAGAAGGACATACGCTTTGAGCGGATTTACAGTACTCAAAGCTGAAGTATGTCAATCACTTGTGGCAATGAAGATTGCCTAGCAAGAACAGGA